TCATTACTGTTGTTTATTTTTGGCCATAAAGTCCTAATCCTAACTTAATGAAGCAGCTGTTTCCGCTTTACAGGTACAGTGTCTTGTGTTTTAAAATAGGTAGCAGCAAAACACAAAGCCCTCTCTGATTACGGTCTTTTAAGACCATGAGGTTTAAGACTGCCGTGAAAGGGAGGGACTTCCCGTCCTCAGCATCATATGAGTTGCCAGAAACTGTGGGCTGCACTGCAGAGCATATTGGGAGAATGTGGCAGATCAATATGTTCAACAGAAGTTCGCGTAGATATATGAAACAATATTAGACTGTGTGTATTGGAGTTTTATGGGTTTTAAGAGTAAAATTATCAGTTCAAATGCTACTATTAAATACATTTTTTTCTATACATTATCAACATTTCCATATGTCAGACATCATGTCAGAATGATTTGCAACATTACATATTTATGTCAAATATGCGTTGAGATATGTTGACAATTATATTTAAACAAACACTGGGGGGAAAGGTCCAGTTGGAAACTCCTATCGTTGGATGAGTCATAGGCTATAATTGGTCCGTGATGAGTCTACGTGCAATACTGCCATAAGCACTCATCTAAAAGCTATAATGCGTTTTTCATCTGAAGACAGACAGAAATTCAGTAAATATTTAGATAAGAGGATTTCCTAAAAACATGTAAACATCAAATTGAGAATGACCCAGCTCTTCAGACGAGAAAAGTTTTTTTTTCTTTCTGAAACTTTTTTTCCAAGTTATTTTTATAACTGCATTTTCATGTATCACAACATTACAGAAACCACTTACTCACCTTACTGTATGACTCTAAAAATGTTCAGATGACTCAAGAGTTAAAAGGGCTGATGAAACAAGGGGCAAGTGACAGAGGATTTTGCCTGGGTCTACTTTACTTACAGCATGGGGAAATTTCTGTAATAATATAAAACAAAAAGGGCAGAAAACACTTATCATACTATATTTTAAATCTTCATGGTGTGCGTCCAAATGGTATGAACACAATAAAATGTTTTCAGTAACTCTATTATAATTTATACATCATATATGCTTTGATATTATACACAATGATATTCAATATATTAACCTCCTAGAACTGAGAAATTCAATTTCTTTCTTTGCAGAAACCATTGGTTTTAATGGATTTCTGGAGAAAAAAAAAAGAAAAAAAACATGCTGTACATGCCCATTTTAATTGACATATTAGGCTTTTCAGAGATTCCAAATGTTTTGGGGTTTGGCCATGACATCTTTCTCTTCATGGCTTTTAAATGTCTGACATCACAAATCAGCACAATTTTATGGAAACAGAAAAGCAGGTATTATTTTTTAAAACTTCTATTTGTTTGGTTTTCAAATTGTTGCATGTAAGTAAACATCTTTTTTGTAGTAAGTTGCCCTAAAACGAATGTTAATATATGTAAAAGGATGGGAATTCCCATTTCTGCTAATATTTACACAAATTTGCATAATAAATAAGGGTGTACCAATGTCGTATAACTTATATACATTCTGTTGTCTTTGAAAAACATAGAAACTAAAGTCTGTGCAGTTTGATTACAAGTGTCTATTTGAAAAGGATATTTCTGTGCCAAAATTCTGAAAAAAAGATAATTCATTTAGTAGTGTGCATAAAATACAAAGCATAAATAATAAAAAAATCCTTCATAAACTTAAAAGAAATTATTAAATTAAATGTTACAGAGGACACATTAAAAAAAGAAACTGCAGAAAACATTAAATGAAATGCAAACTGAAATGTTGTCTTCTTTATAGTCATGTCTACAGGAAAAACATGAGTGAAAAGTGAGTAATATTTGATATGATTTTTTATTTCCCAAAACAACAACATAATGTCAAAATAAATGTCAAAAACGTTTTGCTAGATCCTAGGAGGATAATTTAACATTACACTGATGACAAGCAACCATAATGTGCATCATCTCATATATAAAATTAGAAAGCAACCAACAGTTTGACAGTTTATTATTAAAACAGGATTCAGCAGAGATTTCTCTGTATTTAACTTTATTGTGATGTTTGTTTTCTTGTTTTGTTTTTTTATTTCTCCCTCTATCTCACCTGTTAATAAACATCTTTTTGTGAGGCTAGATGTCAAGATGGCAGCCATCCTTCAGTTATCACAGTACTGTACCTTTAAGATGGACAGCATCAGCACTGTGATAACTGAACCAGGGCAGCCTGTCACATCAAGCAGAGCCAGGGCGGTAGTTCTTCACACATCTTCTTGTCCATGTTCATTCTGGCATAACAACTATCACTTTCATAAATATCAGATCAATATGTGATGTTTACTGTTTTCAAAATATAACAGTTAACATATAATATAGGCTAAATAAATCTGACATTTCCATCTGTGTATATTATAGGAATGAGTATATGCAATCATTAAAGATTTTTTATTATTAAACATAACTTATACTAAGTAGAGATTATAATATCATGATTGGACTTTATGCCATATTTTCATATGATACACTACATTAGATGTCAACTCCGCTGTCAATCTGACAGCAGGAGATTCAATACCTTCGTTTTGAGCTTTAATTATTCATACACACCACCCCTGTGACGACGGACTTGTTTTGGTAACTCTGACTCCACCTTCTATACTTCGCTCTCGTATTTGGCAAGCTCTTGGCTCCTCCCACATCATCCCGCAAACCCCGCCCTCCGTGCGAATCTCTTCTTGTAAACAACTCCATCAGCGCGTCGTGTTTGCCATCTCAGGACAGTGGAAACGCCTGCCAAATAATGACAAAACATCTGCCTAACATTCCTCTAGCGGCTGTTTCGGGGGAAAAAAGGAGAGAAAACATTTCAATGGGTTAAAACGGGAATATATTAGCTGTTATAGTGTGTTGCGACTTCTCATAGAAAAATGTTGTTGTTTGATAAAAGTGCAGTTTTAAATAAAATAATTTATGTTAGGAACATTCCAGCAATATAATGTATAAACTATACATGAATACAAGACGTGTTTGAGCAAAAAGCCCGTTAGAACGTCACGAGGTCAGTATCTACAATCAATTATACATAAGGTAATACACGAAACGGCATTACATGATCATGTCATATAATATCACAGCAGGTACTGTAAATATTCTGTGTATATATCAGTTGTTCTACTTGATATATCGATTCGTTAAATTGTCGGATATCTTGCGACTCGTCTTATTGTACTATATTGATGCGCGCTAACGCCCAACAGCGCGCGCGCACACCCCTCTCACGGCAAAAACAAACACCACATTCTTCTAACATAAAAACTAATATAATATCACTATCACAGTTAGACATATGTACTATTCTACCGACTGCAAAAGTACTTACCTGTATTTTCAACGCTGAACTCCCTTGTTTACGTGAATATATTTAATGACGCAGCAAGCCTTACAGCGAACAAAGTGATTGTCGCCATTTTTTGTTGTTATTGAAATCTTCAAGCCATGTGACAATAAAATAACACGCTTCCGGGTCCTGACGCTCAAAGTTCACCACTTTCTTAGTGCAGAATGACTCCTGCCATATAGAAGGTTTAAACAGTCGACTGATTTTTACATTGCATACCCGAAGTGAACTGCGTTTAATATCTCTTATGTTCTGACGCCACCGTAAGGCACCTCGGAAATAAATGTTTGACATGGGATAATAGCGGACTATTTCAGTGGTTTTTACCCTTTTTTGTCTCCAAGGCCACCTACGTAAAATATTTCCTGTGGCATTTTTGATGTAACGATGACAAAACAGCCTATTTTTTAAACTTTGTTTATTGACAGAATCAAGTCAATGGATAAAATAATTAACCGACTAATGCTGTGATTCCAGAAGTCAGAACTGTATATTATTCAATAAAAACAACTGTTGTTGAGGAGACAAATTAAAATATGAAATGTCATTTTACATCAAAGTTTTTTTGTGTGTTTTAGTACTTAAGAAATTTTTTAATTTTAATACAGTTATATATGATTTTATGATTTTGCAGCCCTATTTGGCAGTTTGCGCTATGGCTTGATATCAGTCCGTGGCCCATTTTTGAAAACTAAAGTAAACAGTGCTGTGGCATCTGCGGAATTTTTTCAGCTAACGTTACATCACAGTCAACAAGTGTATATTGTCCTAAATCAGACAGGGGGCAATATCACACCAGTTTTACCAAAGTGTTGACGCAGTTTGTTGCATGTGGAGAGAATAACAGTAGCTGTGTCCTGTGTCCCAAATGATGTATGCACACTACGGACGCACTCTAGTGTATTAAATTTATAAGGTTATTTTGTTATACAACATCGGAGTATGATTAACCCTACCCCTCCTTTAAGGAAAGCTGCAACAGTTGAGATTTAACTTTTTTTTTTACTATTTAACCTTTTAATTTAAATAAGTGCATCATCCGGACATTTAAAATGCATTTCTCTTTGGAATAAAATGGCACAGAAACGTGTAATCAGTATCAATAAACGCGAATTGTGCGTATAGTAGCCTACCTAAGTTTGTAATTTTCTTCTGGAAAGATCATCTTGCAAAATAATCATCAGTGCCTCTGACTCTCCAAATAACCATATTAGGAACCTGACAGTTGGACACATTTCAACAAACCTAATGTTTTTAACTTGCGGTAAGTACACAGACGATCACAAACAGAAATCGGGTTCGCCTGAGGTAACGTAACCATAGCAACATTGCACCGCTCCCAGAGCCGTTGAGAACGCTCCGATGTCCTTTGGCATAACAGTGAAGCTGTCATTATTTATCACTTAACTAATTGAAAATTTACATATTAATACATTTATCACAATTGCTTACATTTCAATAACTGTTTTTTTTTTTTTTACCAATACTACTGAAACAACTTAATACTACAACGACCAGACTCCTATGCGGTTTAGCTTGGGCATATTTTTCAGTGCGATGCAGTACCAGAGGCGTTTTAAAATAGGGCGTTTATGTTTCTGCTCCATTCATTTGCAGAGAGGGGACGCTCACATCTACATAAAGAGCAGTAGGCGGCGCGTCAGCGAAAGGCTGTCCAGTTTTAATGAACAGTGACCACGGGCTCTGTCTTCACCGTGGAAATAACAGTTTAATAGTACAGTAACGTATTCTGTTGGGTGGGTAAGTTTGTTTGGTGTTTTTGACCTATACCTTTTAAAGTCGTGACTTTGTGTATGAATTTGTGGCTTTATTCGATGGTACAGGCCCCCACCCTCATTCTGCACTGAAGAGCTGCTTCGACAGAATTGTGAATTGTAATGCAAACGCGTTAAATAAGTGCACGAGTTGCATGATTTCACTTGTAATGCTGAACTCGTATTATTTTAAACAGGGTAGTTCAGTGCGGAAATGTCCAAATTATTCCGGGCTGTAATCATGGGTCCACCAGGCTCAGGGAAGGGGACCATATCCGAGAGGATCGCGCACAGTTTCGGCCTTAAACATTTGTCTAGTGGAGACTTTGTACGAGAAAACATCGCAGCGAAAACTGGTACGTGCTTTTCACAAATTTGCTAACTTTGATTTTCCTGGACGCTCGTTATCTCTGGAAACAAGCATGTCGATGCCAACATATATAGGCATCTTGCTGGGTTTTGAGACAGCTACTGTGAAAAAGAAGGGATGCGTTGACTATATGAAGGGGCGGAACCACTGTTGCGGTTTATATGTTCAGATTAGCGGGTTATCGATTCTTTAACTTCAACATTTGGTCCTTCCAGTCTGGAATATGTGGTTGGTACACCCGCGGGCGTCATGATGTTTGTGTACATGTGAGGTAAATGCCTTAAAAAGTTGCCATGCTGGCAAGATGACACTCCACATTTCTGTTTTATTGCACTGTTGCCATACCTGCCTCCCTTATTAAGACTTCAGCTGGCATTCATTTATGTAGATAAAGACAGACGAATTTTCATACTAATATTGTATAGCCTACTAATAAACACATTAGTTAGAGTAGACTTTTTATTAATGCTCAGTAAAGTTATGATGGCTGGTAGATCCTTTTAGTATAAAGCCTTAAGTTGAAAAGAATCGAACTTTTTAAAGATAATTATGATTAAGGTAGTAACCTTTTGCATTAACACACATTATACTAAATATATTTGTCCATTTAAAACTTTGAAGGCTGAGAGCTGATTTAGCTACCAAAGAAAAAATACACAATAGTTGTTCCAACCATGAGCCCATCCATGTTTAGGCTAGTTTTTAATTGTAAAATGTTGTAATTTGTGTGGTGACATTAGGAATTTTATCATACTTTGTTATTTGTATGCTTGTAGATAAAATTCGGAATGAAATTATTGGGTATCAATGTCTCAAGTCTCTCATGTGACTGCTCCGATCTATTATATGATTAACACTAGTTGCTGGTTAAAACCATATGATTAATAATTGATTTGTCTCAGTTTAAGTTTATGTTTGCATTTTAAGTATGGTCATAAATAAAAGTATCTTAGTTGCTTCCATTCTTGAAGAAACATCATAGAAAACAGTTTATTAACGATATGTGTAAAGCCATAAGTTTGATGATTAGTATGAAAGATATGTGTTCCATTCATTGTCTTTTCTGCAGAGGCTGGTGTTCTAGCTAAGACGTATATAAAAAAAGGATTGCTTGTGCCAGACCATGTCATGACGCGTCTTCTGCTGCCTAGATTGGAGGAGATGACCAAATACAGCTGGTTGTTGGATGGTATGGTGGTAAATCCCATTTAGTAATTGATCCTTTTGCTATATATTTTTTTATGTGTTTAGGACTAAGGTAAATCTCTTCAGGGGAAGCAAAACTTTAATTTCTTCATTTAACAGAAACTCGAAACAATCTGTAATTTTAGGAAGTAAGCTAGGAGCGTTGAAAATATGCTGCTTTTTATTGCCTATTTCAGTTTTATCAATTGATTACTGATTTGTGAGACCAGAAAGTCAAGATGTAACAACTGCTATCTTAGAAAGTCAAAGACTCTAGCTCCCAATATAGAATGATAGGATGTCAAACATTGACTGAAAAGATGTGCAGCGTGACCTACAAACCAGGTTTAAATATTCTTGCTAAATGGAGTAAAACTAGGGTTCCTTTACTGCAGGACCAAACACATTAAAGCTGAAACTGCAAAGGCTAATCCTAAAGCTTAATATTTAAGTAAACTAACAAAGAAGTAACTACACTCAGTCATAAATAGGAAAGCAGGGCCCCTACTGGCAATTCTATAATGATACAAAACACCATAATACCCCACACCCAATAAGGATATAGTATTGCAACACTTGACATTTATGCTTAGTTACGAAACTACACATTGCAACATAAGTGACGTTTCAAAATAGTATTTATAACTTTCAGCTGATATCGTAAAATGTAATAATCAAATAAGAAAATAAATGTAATCACTCATGTGAATAATTCAGGTGTACACATGCACATTTCGGCCTTTTTTCAAGTATTAGAAGTCATTTTGTGCACTTATCCTCCAGGTTTCCCTCGAACACTAGCTCAGGCTGAAGCCCTGAACAGTGCCTGTGATCTGGATGTTGCCATCAACCTCAACATCCCTCTGGAAACACTGAAGGAAAGGCTGCAACATCGATGGATACATCCACCCAGCGGCAGAGTGTACAATATGTGCTTTAATCCTCCCCACGTCCAGGTGAACATTTTAGTCTTTCAGCTAACAGAGAACATTCTCAGAACTTTGGCTAATGTTCTGGCAAGGTTCTCTCAAGGTTACAAAACGTTCTTTCAGTAATGTTAACAGAATGTTTGTTCAGAGTTATCTGTTTTTTAGTAATGTTTTCAAAATGTTAGCACAAAAATGTTATTTATACATTGTTAATGGAAAGTTTTTTTCCGGAAACGTTTTAGTTGGATGTTTAAGTGACATTCTTTTTTTGTTTCAGAATATTCAGAGACCTTTCAAAAGTAACTTTCCCATAATGTTTGCAGAATGATAAAATGGAATGTTCCCTTAAAGGGTTAGTTCACCCCAAAATGAAAATTCTGTCATTAATTACTCACCCTCATGTCGTTCCAAACCCGTAAGATCTCCGTTCATCTTTGGAACACAAATTTAGATATTTTTGATGGAATCTGAGAGCTCTCTGACCCTCCATAGACAGCAACGCAACTGAAATGTTCCCAGAAAGAAACGTAGCAAGGACATCGGTAAAACAGTCCATGTGTCATCAGTGGCTCAACTTCAATTTTGCGAAGCTACGAGAATACTTTTTGTGCGCAAAGAAAACAAAAATGATGACTTTATTCAACAATTCTTCTCCCCCGAGTTACTGTCTTCCGCCATTTTGGAGAGTATCACAACGCATACGCACGCTTTACCCTAAGTGTAAACAACGTTGATTATGCCGATTACGTTCATGCGCGCACTTTCACCCCTAACGTAAACATCGCCGATTACGTTCTTGGGTACTCTCCAAAATGGCAGAAGACGTAACTCAGGGGAGAAGAATCGTTAAATTATGTTATTTTTGTTTTCTTTGCGCACAAAGTATTCTCGTAGCTTCGCAAAATTGAAGTTGAGCCACTGATGACACATGGACTGTTTTACCGATGTCCTTGCTACGTTTCTTTCTGGGAACATTTCAGTTGCGTTGCTGTCTATGGAGGGTCAGAGAGCTCTCAGATTCCATCTTTTTGTGTGCAAAGAAAACAAAAATAATGACTTTATTCAACAATTCTTCTCCCCCGAGTTACTGTCTTCCGCCATTTTGGAGAGTATCACAACGCATACGCACGCTTTACCCTAAGTGTAAACAACGTTGATTATGCCGATTACGTTCATGCGCGCACTTTCACCCCTAACGTAAACATCGCCGATTACGTTCTTGGGTACTCTCCAAAATGGCAGAAGACGTAACTCAGGGGAGAAGAATCGTTAAATTATGTTATTTTTGTTTTCTTTGCGCACAAAGTATTCTCGTAGCTTCGCAAAATTGAAGTTGAGCCACTGATGACACATGGACTGTTTTACCGATGTCCTTGCTACGTTTCTTTCTGGGAACATTTCAGTTGCGTTGCTGTCTATGGAGGGTCAGAGAGCTCTCAGATTCCATCAAAAATATCTTAATTTGTGTTCCGAAGATGAACGAAGGTCTTACGGGTTTTGAACGACATGAGGGTGAGTAATTAATGACAGAATTTTCATTTTGGGGTGAACTAACCCTTTAATGTTCATATAACCAAGAAAAAACTTTTTTTAAACATTTAGAGAAATTAAAACAATGTTAGCAAAACAATCTTAGAACATATTTTTGATAACTGGGTATGTAGCAACTTTAAAATAACTAAAGGTTAGTAGGTTATGAAGGAATAATGATGAATGATGAATCAGAAATACACTGGATACCAAGGTAACCTGCAACTGTTACTTTAAAGAGCTATTTCTACCTGATTTGACTCATAAAAATAGTTTTGTTTGTATAAATTAATGTATTTTGGTTGATTTACCAATATTAAATAATACTTTTAACTGGAATAAAACCCGTTAATTTAGATGTTACCATTTTTAGTCACAATTTTTGTTAGTCTGGATGACTAACTAGGCAGTGTACTTACCACTGAACTAGGCAGTAGATTGAGACACATATGTGTAGTGTAGTAACATAGTGAGACTGAAACTTAATTTTCTTGAAATGGAAAACACTAAATGCTTCTGTGTAGTAGAATTAAAATTTTCCATTTTGAATGACACTACCCTAATAAAATTCATCTACCTTCTTGCAGAGTTTAGTTCCAGCGTTAAAGACCCCTGAACCAGCTAATAAATGTCTTTGAAATTAAGGTTGGATCTAAACTCTGGCCCTCTAGGAGTGTGACTTGGTACACACCTGTTGTACGGGTTTATTTTTCACAAAAACCTTGTGAAAGTTTTCTAGCTATTACACTGCTAGCTGTATCATCTCTTTCATGAGCACTTAAAGGAATAGTTGACCCAAAAATTTGCTAACCTCAGGCCAACTAAGGTGAGTTTCTTCATGGGAAAAGATTTGGAGAAATTACATCACTTGCTCAGCAATGAATTCTCTGCAGTGAATGGGTACTGTTGGAAAGAGAGTTCAAACAGCTGATAAAAACATCACAATAATTCACAAGTTATCCACGTCTCCAGTCCATCAATTAACGTCCATTGAAGCGAAAGGCTGCATGTGTGTAATAAACAAATACATCATTAAGGTGTTTTTAACCTCCATTGCTTCGGGGCTAAAATAAAAATATGAGTACACCATCCATAATTTTGCTTAAGTCATCTCTGAATCAGGAGAGAAATATGCACAGATCAAGCACCTTTAAGAAAGCGTTCTAAATAAATATGTGGGTGAGAAGACAACAGGGATGATTTTTTTTTACAAGAGGAAGCGTTATTATGGATTATGGACTGGTATTTTGGCCAGAAGCAACGGTTTAAAGTTAAATTAACTGTAATTTTAATAGACTTGTTTCTTACAAACATGCACTGCAGTTGAGTGGATTACTTGTGGGTTGTTGTGATGTTTTTATAAACTGTTTGAGCCCTCAGTCTGAAAGAGTGAAATACAGTGAAATCTCAATGCAGAGGATCCATTGGTGAGCAAGTATGTAATGCTAGATTTCTCCAAATCTGTTCTGATGAAGAAGCAAACTCATCTACATTATGGATGGCCTGAGGGTGAGTTCAGCAGATTTTCAGTTTTGGAGGAACTATTCCTTTCACTGCATCCTACTGAAGTAAAAAAAAATAAAATAAAAAATATATATATATATATATTTTTTTTTATTTTTATTATTTTTTTTTTTA